TCTCTGGGTCTCTCAGTCTATTGCTTGTGCAAATAAGAGCCACACAGTAATTAGATATGAAACAGCAGCTAATGCTGCTGGGAGATGAAGTGTATCATCACATTAGTACGCCTACATTTGCGATACAACCCAGAGAGGATGGTAAGGCATGCACTGGACACTTTGTAACAAGAAACAGGAAGTTGTAATTTCCCCTTTGTGCATAGGGACAGGCTAGCTGCAGCAATACATGAGCATATGAGAATTGATCAGCCATAACACTATAAATTGCAGCCATAACATGTGAGTCCATCATTGTAAGACAAACAGCACAGGGAATATAACTATGATAGTACAAAGTTAAACAGTGAACACTTGAAAGATTTGAATTCCTTTAACTGCTGCAGCACATTGGGAGGTCATAACTTCATATGACTCAGGTTATTATTCCTAACACCAAAAAAAGTCTCAGGGTGTTATATTTAGATGATATCAAGAATTACTGCAAACATTGTTTTTACACAACACTTCCAGAGATTTGTATGATAGTTTGGATAATTTGTATTGGTAAGATATATTGTAGGTGCCCTAAAATAATATACCTTTTTGGATTTTTTTTTTTTTTTATAAAATCCCCACACTTATGGCCAAGCTGATCAGGTAAAGTGCCTGGGCCACCAAAAAAATTGTATATAAACATGAATTTGCAAAATTCCTGCTGTTGGCCCCAAAAATGAATTTTCCATTTTGTGTTGGATATGATAGAAGTGGTCATATGATGGCTGCATACGAACAGATGTTGTCATTGTGCATTATCCATGCTGCCTGCTCTATGTCAGATCATTGCCAATTGGATAATGTTTGCTGCAGAACTTGTTTATTGCTGTTATAAACAGATTAGGTTTAAAAACAGCCTATTCTGCCATCATAATCACCCTTAACAACCAATTTGGTGGTTGTTTTATTGAAGCAATTGACTATAACATTTTTCATTTCATTCTGATGTCCCAAACCCTCACTGCTCATTACACATTAAAAACTGAGGTGGGAAAAACTATAGCTTGTAAATATAAGACATCACAGCATTGTTACCTAGTATTGACTGGCATTTCTGTGTGATACTAACCTAAAGATTAGGATATAGCTTTGTAAGCAAAGGCAAATAAAATGTAAAGTTTATTGTGTTCTTTCCTTGTTTTCTTCCTTCTAAATGTTTTGTTCACACCCTATAGATCTACAATCTAGAGTTGTTATGGTTAGTTTCGGAGTACAAATCCTGCTGTTTTTTTACCCTTGCCCAGTCTGTTGTCAAGTATGTTTTAATGCAGCAGGACATTATAGAGTACTCTGTCACTGGCTGTATGTCACAAATGTATGCAGTTAAAGTGCTATCCTAAACTTTCAGTGAAAGTTACTGGTGCAAGTTGTTTTTTCAAAATATTTAGGTGAATCCTCCTTGGCCGCCCACCCCTAGCTGATATTGAATGGTTAATAGACATCATTCAGAAACACCTCCCTTTCAACATGGTCTTGAATTCATTTACTTTAGATTCCAAAGCACATTGTACTTTCCTTTCTCCCTATTATAAATCTACAAACTTAGATGTAGTTTCCCTGCAAACACAGATGTCATTTTCTTTCAGTTTATAAGCCAAAGTAATGTATAGGGTAAAACTGTCTGTGCTTTTCTTAATGGGACCACAGTGAAAGGCTTCTTCTGTCTGTCTCCTTTCCAGTGGCTAGTCGTGCCTCCCTGGTAGCTCCATCACTTCATCCTTCTGCCTCTCCATGGGTGTTACTTTCCCACCGCCTCTTGGTTGAAGTCAAAGGCCCTGTCTGCAATTGTTATAGTAACACCCTGGATTTCATTGTGAAAATCTGGTAACCCTAATATGGCTATATTTCAAGAGCAATCTGAATTTGAGCTGCAGATGCGTTCCATAAATAGTAAAGTCATTTTGAAAATATGTTACAGGCTGCCTAACATTAAAGGTTAACTTCACTTTTTGGAACATGTCACATGTTCCACTCATTTTTGGGGTAGAACATGTAACATGCTCCAGCAGCCAGTGTGGCAGCGGGTGAGTGATCTTCTCCCTGCACCCAATGTCACAATTTAAAAAGCGCAGCCGTGTGGGGCTCCACCCACATGGCTGTGTCATTCATTCACAGTTTCCTGTAACTGAATGATCTACAACTTCCATCAGCCGCCGCATTTATTTATTTATTTATTTTGAAAAGTGAACTTATTCTCTAAGAAAAAAAACAGAGGAATTTCCTTTTAAAATAGAATTCGGTTTTACTAAATATTTTACTATTATTGAGGATTTCAGTTATCCAGACATTGACTGGAGAAATTACACTGCACACTCATCTTTAAGTTCAAGTATAACCAACTCTTGAAACACTCTGCAAGATAATTTAATGGGGCAAATGGTAGAAACCTTAACTAACAGAAATGGTATGCTAGACCTGCTAATTCATAAGACTGCAGAGCTCATTTCAGACATGCAAGTTAGGAAAAAAACTTGGCTAATAGAGAGCTACAGTATAATTACGTCTAACATATAGTAGCGGAAAGAGAGACATGTGGGTACCACTAGAACACTGAATATCAAAAGACCCATCTCCAACAACTTGTACCCCTTGTTTTGTGATATATAATATGGAGCAAATGTAATTAGCAAAGAACATGGAAGAGAAGTGGAAATGTTTTATGGGTTAAACAATAGTATTCACCTTTGCATTCTGTTGCGTAACAAATACAAGATAACAAACTTTAACCATATGTGGCTCAGTTCTAGCCTTAATAAGTAAATGGAAAAAAAATGGCTTTCAAAAAGTACAAAATATAATGAACAGACTTGGCATTTAATTATTACAGGGAATGTAATAAGACATGCAAAAGTGCAATCAGAGTAGCTAAAATTGATTATGAAAAGCACATTGCTACAGATTGCAAGAAAAACCTGAATAAAATTAATTAAATATATCAACAGTAAAAAGGTAATGATTGAACATGTAGACCCCATAACTGATGCATCTGAGACTGAAGACTTTGGTCACAATTGATATAGATAAGGCTAACTTGTTAATTACTTTTTTCTCTTTTATACACAAGAAAAATAATTTATTAAAAATAATAGTAATGCTATGATTAATTAGAGGGAAGTACCCTTGTGGTTATAAGAAAACAGAGTCAAAAGCTAAATATAAATCAACAGGGATAGATGGCTTACACCTGTGTGCTCTCAGGGGGCTGAGCGTGGTGATAGCCAAGTCACTCTTCCTAATTTTAAAGACTCCTTAATGACAGGAATGGTACTGACTGACTGGTGTAGGGATATGTGGTTCCAAAATTAAAAAAAATAAAGTCTATATGTATACCAGGGAACTACAGACCAGTCAGCCTAACATCAGTAGTTTGTAGAGTCTTTGAGGGAATGCTAAGGGACTCACTGAAGAATTTGTTGTGGAAAATGGTATTATTAACCCCTTAACACCATGCCTCCCAGCCCTTTAAGGGGTTTCTGATGCCAGGAGGTGGGGCAGGGTTTATATTTAATCTGTTTTATTGAGTTTTCAAAGATTAAGCAAACAAAACAGCAAATGTACAGTGTGGTAAGGAAAACTGCACATTGTATCACTAGTACATACAGACGGTACATATAAAATACTAGTGCACATAGTAATATAAAGGGTATAAGCCCAAACCATTACAAATAGAGAGTGTGTGCCAAATACATTAAATCATCCTAAAGGGTGGAGAAAAACAATGTGGCATTAGTAGTAAGATTACAACGTAAAAACAATATGAGACAAAGGATATAAGAGCTTCTGCCGATATCCTAAAAGACATAAAGAACAATTCCTTCTGTAATGTAGTCATATTAATGTGGCACACAGCAAGGTGACACACAAAATCTACGTAAGTAGTATATAGACATTCAAAGATCACCAATATGTAAGTACCCTATGTAAGAGAGAGAATAGATGTAAATTATTAAGTAAAATAAAGAGTAGTGAGAGAGAAGAAGAGAACAAAAAAAAGGGGGAGAGGGGAAGGGGAGGAAGATGGAAGAGTTTGGGACCCAAGCGCTAAGGCAGAGTATTGCCAGTGCTACCAGTCTGGATGAGACTGGCAGGCATTAACGCCCTTCATACGGGGCTGGGTTTATGATCATGTGACTGCCATGATTGGCTGTCACAGTGGTCACATGATCAAAAAGCTCTCAATTGCAAGTAGCAATTGGGAGCATTCTGTTTGGTGCCAGTACCTGTGCTGGGAGCATGCAGGGCACGCACTCTCTGCACATGTTTGTTTATATTCGGATATGCAAATATGCAGCCTCTTTACGTCAAGGCCCACCCACCAAGAGGCCACATATTTGTGTATTGTTAGAACAAAGGGGTTAATTAACACAGCATTATGAAAGACTGTTTTTGTCAGACCAACCTGTTAATATTCTGCGAGTAAATGAACAATAAAGCACAGCACAGTGGCCAAATGGTTAGCACTTCCACCTTGCAGCACTGGGGTCGTTGGTTCAAATCCCAACCACGGCACCATCTGCCTGGAGTTTGCATGTTCTCTTTGTGCCTGCCTTCAAAGATATGCTGGTAGGTTAATTGGATCCTGTCTGAATTGGCCCTAGTATGTATATGAATGATTGTAAGTTAGGGACTTTAGATTGTATACCCCTTGAGGATTAGGGACTAATGTGAAAGTTATATATATACCGTATATACTCGAGTATAAGCCGACCCGAATATAAGCCGAGGTACCTAATTTTACCACAAAAAACTGGGAAAAACTATTGACTCGAGTATAAGCCGAGGGTGGGAACACCAGTGGGAAGAATCGTGCCTCATCATTGGTGTCAGTGGGAGGAATAGTGCCCCATCATTGGTATCAGTGGAAGGATAGTGCCCCATAGTGCCCCATCATTGGTATCAGTGGGAGGAATAGTGCCCCATCATTGGTATCAGTGGGAGGAATAGTGCCCCATTGGTGTCATTAGCGCCCCATCATTGTCAGTAGGAGGAATAGTGCCCCATCATTGGTATTGGGAGGAATAGTGCCCCATCATTGGTCAGTGGGAGGAATAGTGCCCCATCCAGTAGGAGGAATCATTGGTATCAGTGTGCAGGTATCAGTGGCAGGAATAGTGCCCCATCATTAGTATCAGTGGGGGGAATAGCACCCCATTATTGGTGTCAGTGGAATAGTGCCCCATCTTTGGTGTCAGTGGGAGGAATAGTGTCCCAACATTGGTGTCAGTGGGAGGAATAGTATCCCATCATTGGTGTCAGTGGGGGAGTGGAGGAAAAGTGCCCCATCGTTGGTGTCAGTGGGGGGGAGGAATAGTATCCCATGATTGGTGTCAGTGGGGGGTGGAATAGTGCTCCATGATTGGTGTCAGTGGGGGGTGGAATAGTGCCCCATCATTGGTGTCAGTGGGGGGGGGGGGAATAGTGCCCAATCGTTGGTGTCAGTGGGGGGGAGGAAAAGTGCCCCATCGTTGGTGTCAGTGGGAGGAATAATGCCCCATCATTGGTATCAGTGACACCAATGATGGGGCACTATTCCTCCCACTGACACTTGCTGACCCCTGTTCCAGTATGGTGCTGCTGCAGCCAGCATATGTGGTTGCAGCAGCACCTAAGCACGGCACACTTACCTGCATCTCCTTCACTCGATTTTCGCGGGGCCCGCTCAGCTCCGCCTCCTCGCCGGTGATTGGCCGCCTGTGTGCCTTTCCTGAGCTACAGTTCTGGCGGCCAATCACCGGTGAGAAGGTGGAGCCGAGCAGCCGCGCGAACATCCAGTGGACGAACCGAATGAAGGAGCAGCCGCGCTTCCTGGACCGGATCGTCGTGGGACCGGAGCCAGGTAAGAGACAGCAGCCCCCTGCAGACGTTGACTCGAGTATAAGCCGAGGGGGGCGTTTTTCAGCACAAAAAATGTGCTGAAAAACTCGGCTTATACTCGAGTATATACGGTATATATATATGTGTGTGTATATATGTGTGTGTGTGTGTGTGTGTGTGTGTGTGTAAAGTGCTGTGTAAATTGACAGTGCTATGTAAGTATCTGTAGTAATAATAATTTTAACGAAGGAAGAGCAGTAGGTGTAATTTATGTTGATTTTGCAAATGCATTTGATACTGTACCCTACAAATGCCAAATGGTATGTACTTGGATAGCGGGTTTGGGATAGTTGGTAAGGATTCAGCCTCTGAATGAGCTAGGGTTTGTGTGTTGCGTGCTCCAGGGTTCTGTCTTGGAGCTAGTGCTGTTTACCTTATTCATAAACTACATTGAGGTTGGCATTAAGAGCTCAATTTTTGTATTTGCTGACAATAAAAAAATATGCAGAGAAATAACTTTAGCACAGGATGCAACAGCATTACATTATCAGTGCTACTGTATCTACAAATTAACCAAGGGTGACTGTAAAGCTGGTATCAACTTGTTTAATCCTGTAACGGTAGCAATTTATTTAAACCTAAGTCCATGACGAGGACACATGGTCGCAATTTAAGCCTGGAGAAAGGAGTTTTAAATAATAGCAATCATTATTTTTTTTAACACCCCAAGAGACAAAGTGTATATCACTTGGTTCCATTCTGATTGGTCTTCTGTTTTCCCCTAAACACATCTCTTAATGCTGGTTATAGCTCCACCCCCTTTTGAAGCCCAAATTATTGGTGTTCATTTGGGGAAAGGTGCAATCAGTACAGAGCTACATCCCCTCTGTGCTGTCTGTAACATAACCCATGAGCTTTAATCATTCTCATCATAAAACGGAAGGATCACTTGACACTGTAGCACTGAGTGATCTGGGGAATTAAAAACATTTACATGAGAGTTCTTCATTAATCTGTTATTGCAGATTGGGTTCTTTACAGTCAGGGCAGCAAAAATGTTTAACTCCTGCCCCCAAATAGTGTTATCAGCTGGGAGTATTAACAAATTTGAAAAACTTTCTCAATAGACACATGGATATCTATTCTCTTAGAACACAACTACACACACACACACTTGCATTCATAAGTTGGACTGGATGAAAAAAATGCCTAGTGTTAGTGGACGAAAGGATAAAAAGCAGGGGTTGGTGGCTAATGGGAGGAAAACTGCTTAGCAGGGAAAGAGGAGGCACTGACAGGTGTTCAGTGAAGGTCTGAGTGGGGAGGGGTACTCTTTGGAAATAGAGGGAGAAAACGGATGCTTTGAGGATGGACACTGATGCCATGTGGTGCCAGAGGAGCCTTTGGTTTAACCACTTCAAGTCCGGACACTTTCACCCCCTTCCTGCCCAGGCCAATTTTCAGCTTTCAGCGCTATCACAACTTGAATGACAATTGCGCGGTCATGCAACACTGTACCCATATGATTTTTTTAGCATTTGTTTGAGGCAGATAAAACTTTATTTTGGTGGTATTTATTCACCACAGTGATTTTTTTTTTTTTTTGCTATATCAATGAAAAAGTTTAAATTTTTGAAAAAAAAAGTGTTTTTCTTATAATCTTTCTTCATAAATCTTGGCCAAAATGTATTCATCTATCTTTTAGTAAAAAAAATAACCCAAATTAGTTTATAACCAAAAATCATAATTTTTCAAAAAATGTTTTAACATTTTTATTTTTTTATATTTTATTTTTTTTAATATACTGTTACCTTAACAGTACAGTGTCACCATAGTGACACTGTACTACTTGTGGGGGGTGATGAAGATTTTTTTTGTTAACTTTTTTAACACTGATTGCTTTTACACCCATAAAGACTGTAAAAGCAATAATTTCTCCTTCTCTCTGGCCGCATTCCTGCAGCCATTGAGAAATACTGTGCGAGCTGTGATTGGTCACAGCTTGTCACATGGCACAAGGCTGCTGTGAATAGCCTTGTACCATGTGACCTCTGTGATCACAAGTAGTAACCAATGATGTCTGGAAGTGACATCTTGTTTACTACTATTCGTGTGATCATTGAGTGGCCAATCAGTGATCACATGAATCGGGCCCTCACACAGAGGTCCCGTACAGCAATCTGTGTTCCACTGTGTCCGGAGGAGCGCACACAGCCAGTGGATGTGGGAGTGAAATTTAGAACCCCCCCCCCCCCCATCAGCAGCGCTCCCTACCGGCCCATGTTGATGAACGGCAAGAGGTTAAGGTGGGAGGGACTTTTTTATCTGGTGTTGGACTTTATGTTGTTTCTGGATCATCCATCTGGACCCATTACAGGTAAGGATGCTCACCCTAAAATAATCTCTCTTTTTGTATAAAAGATCAGGTAGTCCATAGCTATCTCCCCTTAAATACTGGGTAAGACCATCAATGAATCTAATTCTTAATGTGTCCAAGCTCTGCTTCTTCTTGGCTTAATGTGAACACTCAACTGGCTCTTCTTACGCAGGTGAAGACTGCAGTGTCTTTAGAATAAATGTTTGAGAGCATATGTTTGACAGCAAACATCTGAGCAGTACAAACACTGGGCAGGCTTCTACTACCTGCTCTCTGGACTTCAAGATTCAGCTGAAGAAGGATTATTTACCTGTGCTCTGTGTCCTGAGCCACTGCTTCCCTCTCCTGGAATTATAGTGCTGATGTTGGACAGAAGATCACTCTGCCCCACAGAACTGAAGCTGGGGACAGGATTCAGCAATGGGACACAGTCCAGTTTTATTTGATGGCATGCTTTTGTAAAAATCCCAGGACAGTTATTCTTGACGGTCAAAACTCCAGCTTTACCAGGTATATACTTCCGTAGCAAAACACAATCCATCTGAGACTCACTGATGCAGAGACTGAAAGACACCCACTCTGCGCCAGCCCCCCCCCCCCCCCCCCCCATCAATGCCAAATGTTTTCTGCTCCCCTCTTCTAACCCAGTAGGCCTGCTAACCTTTGTATCACATTTCATCTGACAGCATAGCAAAACAAATCCATCCTGAGACTGGGGACAGTAATTACATGTAGAATGCATCTTTATTTGGATTTGCTTACAGAAATAAGTTGCCAGTTTTCCCAGCATTTTTAGTGTGCTGTGTGTGCTGGCGCAGAGTTTCTGGGTATTTGTGTCTTTCAGTCTCTGCATCACAAACACCCATACACAGGGGTGCTCACCATCTGCTTATGACTACACACACAGTTTGGCCATTAGTGCTAAGACTACTTTACCGCCTTCTTGGCCTCACATACCACCACTCTGCTCCCGCTGTCTCTCTCAGTGGAAATTCTGCCTCCTGGACAGGACAGGACTGATCCTTTCCTGGATTTTTCTTCCATTTATGTCCATACTGGTTCACCTGCTACAATTGAATCCAATAGTGTAAAATTAATAGTTAACCAGTTTTTTCATTATGCACCAATCACTTAACTACAGTATGTTTATTTTATAACCTGCCTTTCCTGGGGTGCTCCCATAGTAAGGACCCATATGTTAACTAATAATCATTTTTGGGAGTTAAGGAGGTAATATATGCCCCCATTCTGACGATTGTTATGGTAGTTGGGAAGCTGCATTAATGGGGTCACAAAACAGTGGCAGACTTAGTTGTGGTTTCAGAAAAGCATCACATTAGTGTGACTGATTTATGTCTGCACATCGTTTGCTTGTTATAACAAAGAAATGTCTGTCTGTTGTCAGCTGTAGCTAATGTGTAGTAAACTGCTCTTTCCTTGCATATATAAGCATTGAATATTGGATGATTACACATCTTTGATTTTTACTTTTTATTAATATTGTGTAGAATTTATATAGCACCAACAGTTTGTTCAGCACTTTGCAATATAAAGGGAGACAGTACAATTACAATACAGTTCAATATAGAAGGATTAGGAGACCTTGCTCATGGAGCTTACAATCTAAAGGGAGGGGGAGGTGGTACAAAAGGTATTAGCTGTGGGGAATGGCCAAAGTACTATTTTTTTCGGTTGTGGTAGGTAAGTTGGTAGGTAAGTTGGGGTAGGCTTCTCTGATGAAATGAGTTTTCAGGGATCACATAATACAAAAATTCTAATAAAATAAAAACAAAGAATTCATGGCATGTTCAAGGTGTTTCTGGGGATAGGGGGAGAGTTTTAATTTCCCTACTCTTGAAAAGCATCTTTGCAAATAAATAAAGATTCTCTGGGCTCTTACACATTATACATTTTTCAATCAAAATATTCTCAAGTAATATAAATGCATAAATACATTATATATTTCCTTCCATTTTCCTATTTACCCTATCCAGCATGTATTGCCAGTGGGCATGAAAGTGCCCTATACTCTGTGAGGCACAGAAATCTACTGTGGAATGGCATGTAAACAATGTAAATTACATATAAAGATGAAGGCCTGTTCGAGGCTAGTGTAGCTTGCAGCATAAAAGTGCGACTTGAGAATGCAAATGGCGCCAACATCCCAGCCAAGATATACAGTATATCCAA